GCTTTTATTTCCTATTTTATTTTGAGGCTGTAAACTGTTCCTTCCTTTTACTTTGAGGCCTTATTCCTTTTAAGAGGCTACCTGTGTTGTGTATTAAGTGTATTGGCATAGATGTAATTATGCAAAGGATTTAAGAAATGCTAGATTCTTATTTCATATAGTTGTAAGAGTTGTATTTATCCTGAAATTAAGTCAGCCACCAGCCTAGCCCCCCTGCCAGACAGGAGACGCCATCCAAGCAGTCCTGATATATATAGTTGTCAGACATTTGTTTAGAAACCTTCAAATGAAGGAGATCTTTCAATGTTGATGTGAAACTCAAGATCCTTGACATATGTTTAAGATAAAAATTTAAGATTAACCATTTGTTTTAGAAGGCAATAGGGCAAGGAGGGCAAGAGGTGAGCTGGTAATTAAGATTCCTTGTTGAGACACATGTAAGATATATTACTACTTATTTGTCATTTATAGATGTAACAATATATAGCTCTTTGTGTTCCATATAAGGACAGGAGGATATGGGTGTATCTTTTTGTGATTGGTTCTAGCAATCAGCCAATAGGAATTTCAACCAGGCTGATTGGACAGAGGCAGCCACAGGAGGAGCAAAGGGGGCTGGATTAAGGGAATATAAGTGCTGGCCATAATGGCAGGAGGCCAGGCCAGAGCTTGGTAACCATATACCACTGTGCCTCTCATTTATTTGTCTGACAAATAAATTATTATTTTAAATTCTCTATTGCTGCGTTGAATATTTCATTCCAGCTAAGCGTTAACCACAAGCAGGGTGCTACACTACTTCTCACAGGAAGTTCTGCCCCTTTGATCCAGCAGGAGAGCATCTTCTCCCATCACCCAGCAGGGCTCCTGTGCTTGGAAGCAGGAAAGGGAAAACTGTGGCCTTCCAAATGTTGTTAGGCTCCAACTCCCATCAGCCCCTGCCAGTAGACACAACGATCAGGGAAGATGGGCACCTTAATCTAACAACAGCTGCTAGGCAACAAGTTCCCCAACTCTGCCTTTACAAAAAACAATTCAAAGTTTCTGCAAGCTACTAATTGCTTTTTTCACTTGTACAAGGCAAACTCCTTTTCTGTGCTGCGACTTCAGAGATCCACTGCAGCTGATGTCCTTGAATCTCACTCCCACAGAAGACCACCCAATAAGCATCGCACAACACTTTCCAGTGTTTCTGGAGAGGGCAGACCAAACAGGTTTTCCCTAGGTTTCTTTTGTTTGTTTGTCTTTTTTTTTTTACAGTCTGGACCTCTATATTTGTAAGCGCTATGTTTCAGCTAAAAGATCTGCTAAACAGACACCATTCAAACCAAATGCTTTGCACTTCTTTGGGTTGGTGGTATCTAAAGCTTCAGGGGATCAACTCTGCTGCCTGTCTGAGGCTTATGCTCAAAAGACCGCAGTGCTGTAGGACCTGGAACCATAAAAATAATTAATAGCAGATGCCTGCTGCAATCTTTTACTGCTTGAGTTTGATTTAGGCAGTTTTGTCTTCGTAGCAAAGTTTTTACTACAATCAAATTTCATCACCATTAGTTCTGCCATGAACCAGTTTCACAATGCAACATCATTATTTACATTTTTTTAAAAAGAACAACACTGTTGTTCACTACGTATATCAGTGAATAAACCAGATGTCAGCATTGCATGTATGACAAATGGGTATTCTTGAATACCATAGAAGCCTTCCTACTTGGCTTTCTTTTAGCATCAGTTTATACCAGATTCAACAATCATGTGGGGGGAAATATGTGACATCCATCATATGACAGCTGAGTAAACCAGCTTTTCCACTTTTCTCATGTCTCCAGTGCCATTTCTCTCTAATGCTTTGAACATGTTCAGCCAAAAAAGAGCAATTTCCAAATTGATATTTGGGAAACAGATTTAAAAGAGCAACACTCTTTTAAATTTGCGGGAAGTAAAGAGATATTAGCTTGCAGCACTCTTCACTATCAGCAAATAAAAACCAACTATCTTAAAGATTGCCCCCCCTCTACTTTTCACAATTCCACTTTACGTAAATGATGTCCTTTCCTCCCTGCTTCTGATGCCCTGCATTTAAATAACTTGATTATGCACCACTTCCTTGCAGGCTGCATACAGATGAAGCGGCTCTCAGATATTTAAGTCTCTCCTTACACTGTCACCACAATGTAAACGAGTACAAATTTAAGGACTCAAAGACAAAGGATTTCCCATTTTCTATGAAACTCACAACCATGAAGCAAATTACATGGGTTAAAGCGTCACTATTACCTGCTTGTGTTTTATTAGTCCAGCCAGCCCATCAGATACATCAGACATCAAGAAGCACTGGTTTCTTCTGAGAAACCCTCAAGCAGCCCACAATTCTTCACCAGCCACACCTACACCACAGAATCTTGAGAAAAGAGGGCCAGGCCTAGGGTTGTCCAATTGCTCATTATGCCCACCCCCATTTTAGTCCCTTCTCCTTGATCTATTAAATAATATACATGCATATACTACTTAATTATTTGCACTTTTCAGTGGTGTACAGCCCATGGGAAATGGGACAATTAAAACAATAAACCTTTATTGTAAAATGCCTGCTGGAACAAGAAAGTCTTAGTCATGCACAACGAAGAGGTCTGTCTAATCTCAATTTGAAGGGAGCTCCACAAACTGGGGACCACTACACTGAATGCCCTGCTTCCAAGCAGTTACAAGCTGCGCATCTGAGTCATGGGGGACCATTAACAGAGCCTCCCTCAGTGATGGGGCTGGGACATGAGGGGCCAGGTAGACAGATAGAGCAAGTGAAAGGGGGCGCAATATGGATAACCCCTTAGAAAGGAGTGCACACCACCAACCATATGCAAGTTGCAAAGTGGGGGCAGTGACATTTTCACCCGGAAATTATACAAGCTGAATTGCCCTTTTGGTCCAGTGTTGGAAAAAATGGAACTGAAATAATACTAAGTGGGGGTGTATGCTCTACTTGGTTTAGGTTTACGTCAGGGAAACCTGTGGCCCTCCAGATGCAGGCCGTTGGCTATGCAGGCTGGGGCTGAAGGGAGCTGCAATCATAGAATTGTACAGTTGGAAGGGACCCCAGTGGTCATCTAGTTCAACCCCCTGCAATGCAGGAATCTTTTGCCCAACATGACCCTGAGATTAAGAGTCTCACGCTCTACCCACTGAGCAATGTACATCAGGTGGGTCACAGCTTCCGCCCACCCACACGGTGGAAATGCAAGGCGGAGCACCCAATGGATCCATCCTATGGATGCCCCCTTGCGGACCAGCTCTTTGTAACCCCACAGAGGCTGCGCAAAGTGCAGAGTCACTGTGCTGAATGGCATGCCATCTTGTAAGTAAGGAATAAGTGAGGAATAGGGGAAAAGCAGGGCCCGACAGTGAAGGAGAAAGAACCGGCCACTGCAGCTAAGCGAGGCTGTCAGGCAATTTGGGTGGTGCGACTCTAGTGTCCGATTCCCAAAGAGGAAAGAAAGCCTGCAAAAGGAACCGCTGGAAGAATGAGGTTTCCCACCCATCCGCTTCCAACCCCTGTTCGCCATGATCTCAGTCGCTTCTGTCTGCTCCCTCACATATCCTTCCTGAATCCTGAGAATTAGAAGCCCCTCCCGCTTTTTTTTTACTGGAAAAGATCCGCAAGAGGCAGAGGAGCAAGGAGGGAGCTGGCCATCGCAGCTTCTGGGAAATGTTCGCTGCACTGCCAGCCTGGGCGATCTCTGGCCCAGTGCCCCGCCCAGCCGCAGAGCACATGCGGAGAGATGGGGCGCGCCCCCTCCCTGCAGCCTGGCCGGAGAGAGAGAGAGAAACGCCGCGGAGGCGGGGGACGTGCCCGCCTCGGATTCCTCCGCATTGTTTTTTCACCTGGATCCTATAGCCGGCCGCTTCGCCTCCCCATCTGGCGCAGTCGGTTCCCCCCGAAGCCCCACGTGACGGCAGGCCGGCTTTTGCAGAAACGGGGCGGAGGCACTTTGCAAGTACAGTAACTCCTGCTCTCTTCTGGGATCGCAACTTGCAAGGAAGGGAAGTGGGGCTGGGTGGGGGAACTAAGCGTGGGAGTAGGGAGAAAAGGCACCTCTCCAAAAAATCATTATTAGTCTCAGGGCATCCCCCCCCCGCCCAAGATCACCTCCTCAAGGATCTTGCCCCCGCCCACTTCCTACTGGCTAGACGGTCCCGGAGGCTCAGGATGGTGGAGTCAAGTCATGGGCTGTTAACTGGACTTGCACACCGAGGCGTCTCCAGACGTACGCGCAGCAGCCGCGCAAATATAAAAGGCTGCTTGCGACCATCCTCTGCCTTACGTGCGCCGCGCTGCAAATTCATAGGTAGGTGTTGATTACTGTGCAAGGTCTGTTCACGAATGAAGGGAACTCCTGCCTTAAGGATGCCTTTTGCGCACAAGCAAATCCTAAAGCAACGTTTACACGTCGGCCCCTGTAGTATGCTCCTTCCTGCCGCCATATGACTCGTACACAAAACGTTGCCACATCCCACGTGTGCATAAACTCATGCATGCATGCATGTGGGTGCATTGCGTTTTCTACACATACCCTCCGGATATGCAGCTCAGGCTGCTGACACAGCGGCGTCCAAGCCATACCTGCCTCTGGGAGGGACTGCGCATCCATTACCCAGAGACTCGGCTTCATTTCTGAATCTAGACGGTCTCCTGCATGAACCACCCAAGATCCAGCGCTATTGATAGTTTCCTTGCTGGGGCGGAGAGAAACCGCGAAGCCGGCATCCGGCTCCCACGATGTAGCCGGGGGTCGATCGCGGCCCTCAGCCCCCGTCCTGCCTCCCGCCCCGTCCCCTCGTACCCCACGAGCCCAGACCCGCAGCGCCTTCCCAGCTGGGGCTCCCCCCCCCCGCATCGCCTACGACGCGCATTTTTGGAGAGGTGCGCTTTTCCCGAAGGCAAGCCCTCTCCACGCGAGGCGCGCTGCCCCCGCCTGCCCACCCTCCCCGCAAGCCCCCATTACCTGCCGTGACGCCTTCCGTCCCCGCCATGGCTGGAGGCGTTCACTGCGCCCTCGGCTCCGTCCTTCAGCCTCGCCAGGCGCGTTCAGCCGCCAGGGACCGAGCTCGTCGCTCGCTTCACTCGGCAGCCGGAGCCATTGGGAGCGCGGGCGAGGCGGCTGTGCTGCAGTCGCTCCCTTCCCGGTTCTGCAGGCGAGCGGCGACGCCAAGGCTTCTTTCTGCTCGCGTCTTCTCCTTCCTCCTCCTCCTCCTCCTCCTTCCCTACCCACGGCTGGCTGTGTAGACAGCCAGAGGGACGGGCTTAGCGTTTGACCCCTGTGTCTATGTCTCTTTCTCTGCGTGTGTGTCCACCAGCCTTTTCTTCCCTGCTGCAAGGCTCTGGCTGCTCGGATTTCTGCAGAGCCCCTCCCCTTGGAAGTGAGCGGCCTGTCCCCCCTCCCCTTTGCCACCCCACCTCACGCACCGGCGCGGGAGGGAATCGTGGCAGCAAGTGACAAAGGAGATCTCCAAGGAATAGGCTTGGACGAGCCCAAACCAGAACGCTGTCGTTGCCTTAAAAGAATAAAAAATAAGTAACACTTCTTAATTCCAAAGGTTGTCCCTTGGGCTTTTATTTATTTAAAACACAACTACAATTAGGATCCCCGTACCTAATGCATCTGACCACTTAGGGCATCTTTCAGACACATTGGTATCTCCATGCGTCTGCCAGACGTGAACCGGTTCCAGTCTGCGGGCTTCCTCACATGATCATGGAAGGTGCATCAGAAAGTGTCTTGGAGCCACTGCGGAAAACTAACATAAGAGGGGATGCAGTGTCCATGGCAAGATGTCCCATTGGCCCACTAGGGATGAGATATAGGCTTGTCATGTAGATGGAGAAGCAGCAAAAAATCTGCTTGCTGCCATTCATTAAATGGAAACTGGCTGGATGTGCACTCCTATGCAGTTATACACACTGAAGGGGTGTGCAGGGTTGAGAGAATTAAGAACAAATAAAACATAAATGGATACAGAGTGGTGACCGTCTTGGTTTCGGGTGTAGTGTTGCTGGTTATGAGTTATGTCCTGAAGACTTTGCATTCCGCATAGTGGAACAGCGATGGACGTGCTCTCATGCATCATTTCCTAGGCTAAAAAAATACTTCGCATTAAAAGCCAATACAGTACATCCTTGCAATGGAAAAATGCATCTTTATTGTGCAAAGGTGTCTTGCTAACAGCTTAACACAACTCTTAGAAAGAGAGCTTCCCACAGTTAAGGGGCAAATGACAGGGTTCTTGCATCTTACAATGTCTTGTGATCATGTTGTTGTTTTTATATAAGGAATACTGCTTTTCACAGAGGTATACTGTATGATCAAATACAGTAGACAAAGAATCACTGAGGGGGCAGGGGAGATATTAGGATCCAGTACATGCTTGGTGAGCAAAGCTGTTTATTTGTCATAAATGTTTGCATTCAGAAAAGATGGTTTCATGGATAGGAGGTTACATCTCGGGGGGGGGGGGAATCTGTATGTTTGCTGAAAACAGCATTTGGGAAAATGAGTCCCAACTGTGCCAAACTGGCATTTTTATTTTTATTTTAGACAATGAAAAATCTCTCAGAGGGCCATAAAATGCTTTACTAGAACCTAGCATATGATCTTTACATAACAAAAGAAAGATACATTTGTTTTATCTGCTTGTCCTTTTCATAATCGGCATCAGGGGACGACCAGTGGGACAGAAGCTCACAGTGCTTGCTTGGAGCAGACAAAATTGTTGGAAAACTGAAAGCTCTGTCCTTAAAAAACACACACAAAAAACTCCACAAAAAACAGCATTTTAAAAGGGGGCCGGCTGTTGGCGAGGGGTATCTGCAAATGCTCAGAAAGAGATTCTCTCTGAGTTAACCTCAGATATAACTGCTAGGTTTTATATTTCCAAAAACTGAAGATTACCACAGCATCCCTAGGTGTAAACTGAAAGTTGCATAGCACCTTAGGGAGTCCATTGAAGCCAGTGTTGTGTCTTCAGACTACAGCTCCCATCACCCCTCACAATTGGTTATGCTGGCAGAGGCTGATGGGAGTTTGAGTCCAGAAAACATCTACCTCCCCCTCTCCTTCAGTGAACCCTGCCGCTGAAAACATGGCCTTGGGTCAAGTTAAGCCCTGGGAACAACCATAGCACAAAAGGCTGAAGAGACAAATTTATAGGACAGGGGGCAGAATTGTGAAATGTTTGCACAGTTTGTTTATATCTATATATAAAAGCTTTGGAAATATTTCTGTGTTGAACATCAGTGGTCATAAAGGATTTCAGCCTCAGCATTTAAATTAGGCATCAGCTGCTCTGGCAATGGAGACCCTGCAATTCATCATTATGAGAGAAATTCCCAGGGAGATAAGGACAGCAGGCTGTGGAGCTCTGGGTTCCCTTCTCCTCCCCTTCAATACCACACAGCAGGGAATAACATCTGGCCTTTAGCCTGCCACAGTTATATATTTAGAATCTGATGGCAAACTCATAGGAAACAGGAAACCAGACAACTTTCATTTCATGTTAGAGTTTCCTAACAGCAAAAATAAAAATTAACAGACCCCTGGATACATATTATGTTGTTGGCTTTAAAATTAGATATTTGAGAACACCAACAATAAATGTAATAGGAAGTACAACACAGAGACAGGCATCCTTCCCCCCCTCTCTCCTCTTCCCACTTGAAACAACCCAAATAGCCACATTAAAATGGAATTTGTTGGATAGAGCCATCTTTCTGAATGTCAAGCACACAACAGCATTAATCTGTTTCAAGTCAGGTTTCCTAAGTTACAAGCCTGATTGTAGGTGTTGTGAATAAGGCAAGAGGAGTGTGGTTGCATGTGTGTTGCAAGTGGGTACAGAAATAAAACATTTTTCTTGGAAGCTTAGCAACTTACTTTTTTTAAGAAGGTATTTATGAAACTAACAGTGATTGGATTTGGTTGAGTTAGCAAATATGGGGAAAGGGCAATCGAATAAAACTCAGGAAGTTAAGTTGAAATTTTTGGAGAAAATACAGACAAGTCGTTGTCTCCAGAATTTTTCTCCTCTGGCATCAGTGCTTAATGACATAGCCTTTCAGGGACTGAGAGAAGCTCTCAGACAAGACATTATGCTGACTTTGTAGATATATAGTAGTATAGCAATATTGTACCTACCTCTGTGTTTTGAGCACAGTCCCTGTAAGCAATCTTTCTTGGAGTACTACCAGTTTTGTCCTGGTGTGTCCAGAAACAACAAGATAGATATCTGAGCGCCAGAAATCTATCAGCTTCACCTGTCCCATCATGTTTTAACCTGTCAGGTAGTTATGATATTTGTAGGCGTGACCTTCACCTTAAGAGACAGCCAGGACTCAGGGGACAGAGAGGAAGAGGAGCTTTGCTGCTCTGGAAGGTACAGAGACACCAATCATAGGCCAGGACACTGAGACCAAGTCTGCCAGTGATGAGCCTCCCAAGTCATAGACCCCTGACCTGGGATCGCTGGTCGCAGTATCTGAGAGCCAGAGCTCTATGTGGGAATGAATGGAGTAGTGTGTGAATTATAGACTCCAAGTCAGAGACCTGCCACTTTAAGGTCCTCCACTCCTTGGGGATGGAGTTGAGCCTAGGAGAAGTAGTCAGTTCCATGAGAAGCCCAGAAGAACTTAGGTAAGGGTAAAGAGACCCCAGACTGTTAAGTCCAGTTGCGAACGACTCTGGGTTTGCGGCGCTCATCTCGCTTTACTGGCCGAGGGAGCTGGCGTACAGCTTCCGGGTCATGTGGGCAGCATGACTAAGCTGCTTCTGGTGAACCAGAGCAGCGCATGGAAACACCGTTTACCTTCCCGCCAGAGTGGTACCTATTTATCTACTTGCACTTTGACGTGCTTTTGAATTGCTAGGTTGGCAGGAGCTGGGGCTGAACAGGAGCTCACCCCATCACGGGGATTTGAACCGCCAACCTTCTGATCAGCAAGCCCTAGGCTTTGTGGTTTAGACCACAGCCCCACCTGCATTTAGAGCTTAGTTGAGCTCTAAACATTATCTGAACAGGTACTCTGCCTGGAGCTATCCAAGGTCCTGCAATTCTAGCCTGATGCTATCTGGCTGATAAGCCTCCCTCAGGTGTCCATCAGCTTGTGGTCAGAACAGGGCACATAGTAACTAAACCACCTCAGTTCAGCATTCTTAAACTGCACAGAGATTTCTAGCATTTAATGTCACCCTCCCACAGCAGTACTCAGAGCAGTGTGCAAATTAAAAGGATGCAAGGGATGATGATGTGACCACTGCATGCAGGCTGCATTAAATCGCTCCCCGTGGCATTTCCCCCCATGTGCTGACTGCTGGTGTGCATTGGCTCACCATGCAGCTCAGTGGGGAAAATCAACCAAACTGCTTGTCAAGACAGGCACAGAAACAATACATTAGGGGGAGACAGCTGCCGCACACAGCCGTTGAAAGCAGCCTCCACATGGTCGAGTGTGGGCTAATGTACACTGGCCATCAGGGTCCAATTTAAAATGAAGTAGAGAGATATTCCTTCTCTAAATATATAGGCGCTTCTAAATAGAAGTGAAGCATCAAAAGCCCTTGTTAAAATTATTGTGTGTGCAAGAGCAGAAAGGAACAAGCAAAGTGTATCACACCAGGGAGGGGAGGCCTGACAAACAAATTTTATTTTTTTAAAATAAAATAAAATAAGAATGGCTTTTTTAAAAAAGGCTTTATACAGACATGTGTGCCTGCATGTAGCAGAAATTATCGATAGTAGACATCTACTCAATTTGTTTCTGTTTCAACAAGGGGTACTTCATATCAAAGAGTTTCTTATTATCACTTTCTGATTTGTTAAAATGTTAGAGCTCATATTTCACGTCTTCTGATTTGTGTGGATGTCATCATCATCTTGTATGACAAAAGTGAACTCATTTTCAGAGTGTGCATCCTTATGTAGTCAAAATGGCACCAACAACACATGAAAGGGAGATCTCCACAGTCTTGAGGAAATCCCAAGGCTGGTAAAAGTACATAAAAACTTTGGGGGGAGGAGAACCCAGGGGGTGAACTCTCTCCCCAAAAATGTCTTAAGAAGAATCAAGCATACTTAATGTCTACAAAGTGCTGGCTGACTATTGGGAAGGCAGTACAGAAAACTGAAAGGGGGGGGATGAAACTGAATGGAACATTCTGGAAAAGAGTATGGCTGGCTGGAACCCTGAATTGGAACAATGCAGACTGCAACATTTTGTTGCAGGTCACGCCAGACTATATGAGCAGCATGCTAATTTTCCAAGTCTGGTTTCTTCTGTAGACTACATGGCACCAGACATGCACAAGGAGGAGCTATCAGTGGGACACAGTAGAGCTTAAGGAGAGGTGAATTAAAAAGATTATGA